ATTGGTAGAGATGTTCTCCCTCACACCCTTTCCCGAAGACATTACGGTATCGACGGTTTGTTTTGGCACTGGCTAGTCGGGCGCGGACTCTCCGTGGGTGGAAAATGCCTGCGATGGACCTCTCCAAGTCAAGTTACAAGGTGCTCTCACTCTCCTGAAAGAGACGGTTCTACCAGGTACCCCTGAACACGGAAATGCTCCTAATCCTGCTTCCCATGAAGAGACGGTCAATGATGTTTATGAGGATCCAGTCCCTGGAAATCCCACCGAAACCAAAGAAGACACGGGTACTGATGCCAATGAGGTTCAAGTCGAAGCCAATCCTTCAAGTTCAAATGCCGATTCTCCTAATCCTGCTCCGGATGAAGACACGGTCAATGAACCTGATGAGGAACCAGTCCAAGGAAATCTCACTGAAACCACTTCCCAAACGCTTCCAGGTATGTCTTTGGGCTCTTTATCATTGTTTTCAATTGATCAATCAACTGACCCACATGTCATTTCTATTTATGTCATGAAACTCCATAGAAACTGCTGTATGTCTAGAGCAAGAAGTTACTGGAAAGGATCCAGGCGAAGAAGGAAATCCAACTCAAACCACTTCTCAAAAGACTCCCAGTACGTTATAGATTTCTTTATCCTAGTCATTGATTGATCAATCAGCTGACCCACATAATTTTTCTATTTATGTCATGCACCTCCTTTAACCCAGCTGTAGAAAAAAGTCATGTTGGTTCTATGATACCCTCTGGTAAGTTTCTCTTTGAATAACTTAATTTTTGGATGATCAAACAACTAACCTATGATCATATATGATCTTTCCCCACTTTTTTCATTGCTTCCACAGGGAAAGAGCCTTCAGGTAACACTCCTAGTTTGTCACCAGCACCTCCTTTGGACCCTTGAATCCCTTCAATACCTCAGGCTATTGTCACCCCAGGCCCCCCGATTCCTCCTTTGGAGCCTCGAATATCTGCCATACCTCAAGCTGTTCCAACCCCTGTTCCCCCGATTCCGGCAAATCAACTCCAACCTCACACTTGCTCAACCTCTACTCGTGTGGAATCTCAGGTGCCTTCCACCCCTATACCCAATCCCTCCCTTACCAACTCCCAGCCCAATCATACTTGGCGGCCTCGCTCAACCCCCAGTCGTGTGGAATCTCAGGTGCCTTCCACCCCAATACCCAATTCAGCCCCTACCAACTCTCAGCCCGATTATCCCAAACCCTTCCCTGACTCTTTGGAAGAGGTCCTTTCTGAGATTGAGACAGTAGCCAAGCATTCTACTATACCAGTTGCCCAACCGGAAAGCGAATTCCACGAGTTCTTCTGGCATTCTTTCCTCCCAAAGGAGCCCTACCAGGACCACGAACTCTGGGATCAAGTAGATGACTATTTGAATGCACGGATAGGTGCCGATGTTCTACCTCGAACCCTTCACCAAGGACGTTACGGTATTGATGGCCTCTTTCGACATTGGCTCGTCCGTGTACGAGCTTTCCGGGGGTGGGATGATCACTGCGACGAGGCGGTCGAAGCAAAGTTGAGAGGTGTTGTTACCCTGCTCAAACGGAAGGTCAAGCCTCCTCAACTGGCTCCACTTGGCCCTCAGCTTGTCAAACAGTCAACCTCAGCCCAACAGTCAGGTTCTCAGGCAACTTCCACTCGCATTCCCATCAAAAGGTGTATTGACGCCGACTCGCAAGTCACTACGCCTCCGAAGAGAACTAAGGTCTCCCCTTCACCCGGTAATTCTGAAGATGACGCAGATCCTGGCCCTTCGGGTTCATCGAGTAGGGAATTGATGACCAATCAAGGCCATCAGGATCAGGTACCTGATTCGGTGCAGAAAGCTGCTCCTACTGGCCTGTGGATGATGGCCCAGTCACCTCTCTTCGATGTCACTTTGGCTTCGATCGGTGCCAACAAACTTTTGCCACAAGACGTACCCCAGGTTTACAGAGCGATGATCAACCTTCTCCTTCGGCGCAAAGAAGGCATTGACGTGCCTGCTAAGCCCCCCATCCAGGAAGCAGAGCCTTTTGGGGTGAAAAACAAGTTATCAGTTCGTGCCTGGCTTTCCAGAAACCCCAGTGAGTTTTTTATTTCTATTTTTACCATTGGCACCTGATTCTAACCTCATTCTTTTCAGACTCCTTCCTTGTGCGTAGTGCTGGCGAAGCGCCGTGGCATCGACACGACATTTTCAACTTCACGTTACCCAACTACGAACTGCCAACTACCCCAGATGACAAAGTTCAAACCACCTACGTTCACGAGATTCTGAGTTTGTTCTACAGTCCAGGTACAAAGCGTATCAATCAGGCAGTGCGGATGATAGTTGCTGCTGTGACATTTGCCCGGATGGACACCAATGAACTTCCCGTGGACTACACTCCTCCTGAAGTTGAATACCCGAACCAAGACATTGGGCAGTGTCTTCAAGCTGCTCATCACTTCAAAAACCTTCACGAGACTAAGCAACAAACTCAATGTGCTGCAGAGTGTATGGAAGTCATGACTGGGATGGTCAATCGCCTGTACACGGTCTTTGAAGCAGTTGCCAGTCTGCGAGCAAAATTTCATCATGCATTGTATCTCAGTTGAACACCAACTGACAGACACGACAAGCTCCTCTCAGATTACAAGGCAATGACCCACACCCTGGGTACAGGCTCCATGGCATCACATGTTCTTGGACCGCTGGTGGCTTTTTTGGTCTCTGGTGTAAAGGGTCTCATGATCTTCCCGCACGACAAAGCACGATTCGGATCCGTGAAACTCTCTCATTTCCTGGTTCTAGTTAACCAGATGAATGGGCAAGGACCCATTGACGAACCAATCTGGAAATATACCCAGAAGTACATCCTGGAAACCATTGAAAACATCTTCTTCCCCACAGGTTTTGATCCCTCCAACCTCAATGATGTTGGTTGGGATGAGCATGAAGTGTCCAAGTTCCAGCTTGCCAAAGCACTGGAAGTAGACCTTTATAATTTTTGTGTGAATAGGACTAAATTCTCTGGCGGTGAGATTTATAGAGACCCTCTGTTTGACCTACCTGACATTCAAGTTGTCAAAGATCCTAACAAAAAAAAATAATAACCTTATGATGTATTTTGTTCTCTTGAATTATAATTTTCATGTGCTGGATTTATTTCACCCCCGGGGAAAGTTCCTTCCTCTTAACTCAAAATGTACCATCCTTCAATCAAAAAAAAGTTTTCTTGTTTTCCAAACCCAAGTGTAAGGGTAGGGATTTGAATAAATATTGTTCTGCTTGTATCTTGTTTTACCAAAAGGTTCTCTTGTTTCCAAATCTCAAGTGTAAGGTTAGGGATTTGAATAAATTCTATTGTTCTATTTGTCTCTTGTTGTTCTACCTCATGTTTCCCTGCCTGCCTGTGAATTTTAATGCCATCATATATATTTTTTGTGATATCATTGGCATTCTTTCCTAGTACTGTGAACCAGCTCAAGCCTTCAGGTGAGGCTTCAACTGAGTTCACAGTACTAGAAAAGAATGTTGATGGTATCATCAAGAATAACTTATGACAGAGTGAATTTCACATTTAAATCTCACACTGGGGTGCAGCCTTTTTTGGAAGGCATGCCTATACCCCTTTTGAATTCTTGGTTCACAAGTGAGGCTTGAACTGAGTTTGTGGTACTATAAAAGAATTTTGATGGTATCGTGACAAATCACTCATGACAGAGTGATTTTAACCGCCATATCTCACACTGGGGGTGCTGCCTTTTTTAAAAAGCTTCTGAAAAATTCAGGTGGTGAAATACTTTCATACACAAAAAAGTGAGATGACAGAAGAAAGAGATACAACCAGCCAAACTTGAAATATTTGGTCTTCTGAACTTGTGGCATATTGTTGACCCAATAAAAAGGCTGTTGAATATGGATCTGTATATAATCAACCCTAACAGCATGTTTTTAGGTTTGGGTACCCATACCCAATTTGGGGTTCAAGTTTTTTATAAATCATGCAATTACCCTGATTGCAAAGCATGAACCAAACAGATATAAACTAAAACAAGCACTGTTGGTTCTAGTATTGTGAACCATTTCAAACCTCACTTGATCACTCTCACCATTTTATGTCCAGGTGAGACTTAACCTGGTTCACTTTTATCCCGCAAAATCCCAGTTGCTTTGCTAGCTACTTTCAAGGTACAAGGTTTCCTGCCACTTCTAGGCTTCTGAAAATATAACATGTAAGATCAATTCAAGGTACAAGGTTTCCTGCCCCTTCCAGGCTTCCAAAAATATAACATGTAAGATCAATGAACCCTAACCTAGCCCACCTACTAGGGTCTCACACATACCACCACATGTCACCTACATGGCACTGTGGTTGTGAGGACTTAGTCTTGTGATATCCCATTTCCCAGTCTGAATCTG